TTTTTGAAAATTTTTATAACAAATGCCTACTAATTTATAAGCTTAGGGACTGAAAACAACTTTCACTTTGAATTTTCAAATGATACTCTATAATTTTCAATTTTGTAATGTTACTTTAAAAAATCTGAGAGGACAGTAATTCTTTATGCTTGGCAAGTGAGTTTTCTTCACTTTCTACAAATACTTGTAGAATTTTTACTGAAGACTATGACTGTCATATTTCTCTTCTTTATTTTTTCTAAAATTCCAATTATTTCAATGTCATACCTTCATTTTTTGATATTTTTTAACATCTTTAATTTTACTCTTCCAAATTCTCTATTGTTCTTATCATAGGTTTAATTCCTAAGCAAGAGGTTTTACATCGTTTTAAAATAGCTTTCCCTGTATAACCTGGTTTTTTCATCTCATTTCTTCTGTTTATTTAGTCTCTATATTTCTATTTAAATCTTTTCTCAAATACATAGAAATTTTTGGTTGTCTGATCATTTTTAACAAGGGGACATAAAAAAATGATTGGAAACATTGGCTGTGTGAAGCACACCTGTCAACATGATATGCAGTAAACGGTTGCCATGGTGGTCATTTGTTTACTGGGGAAACTCTGGCAACCATATTTAATTATTCTTCCTCCAGCTGTCATATTCACCAGAAAGAAGCATTCCATTGTCTTGCCATATGAAAAAAATAAAGCCAAACAATACTTGTTGCTGAATTTCATGTAAAAAGAAAGAAATCTAGGAAGGGTCTCAAAATTTAGCATTCAAATGTAGAACAGGAGATTCACGTAATCCCTATTTTTAATATACACTATGGGTACCCCCATTCCAAAGACTGTCTTACGTCCTCTTCATGGAAAAAGTGAGTTTTGGCTGAAGAGAGGGAAAGGATGTTGCCCAAAGGTAGCGAGCTCCTGGAACAGTTAATTGTACTTTACAAAACTTTTGCCTCTTGAGTCAATTCTATTTAGCCTACTTCTGCGGGACCCTGGGGCTTCCACTCCCAAGCCTTGGGCGCTCTGTGATAGTTTGTGTTTCTTTTCTGTTGACCTTGTCCCTACTAAGCCAATTATTGGGGTCCACTTGCTTTCAGCTTTCCAATATTGCTATTGTCAGTTCTGTTGTACATCCTTTTAAAAATTCTTTTAAAAGTCTTTTAAAAGTTATGTATTTTTATGGTTCAAGTAGGGATTCGGAGGGAAGGAAACTATATGCCTACGTCTGATGCATCATTTGACCTGAAAGTGCTATATTTTATATGCATATCACACACCAGCCAAAATCTATAAAAGGTTCTGGAGTGAAAGTTATTGTGATGTCTAATTCCTGAGTAGTAACTGTTCAGAGCAACAGACGTCTTTCAGAATCATTTTTTTACCTGCCTTTGAACTGTTTGCATTTTCTCTCTTTTATTCTTGATTTGGCTTTTCTATCTTTGAATACCCATCACCAATACCTTAGTTACCTTTACATTCAACTGTGCGTTAACATTCTCTCAGGTAAACCCTACACTAACTCTGCAAGAATTTGAACCCCATTTTCCTCTGAAGAAGCAAATGACCAAGATTTCAAAATCTTTTTTCGTAATATCACTTTTGTAAAAAAAAAAAATCTGTCCTACGATTTCATGTTGAATAAACTACAAATATTTCTTTGTGGTTTATTCATACATTTGAGAAAGTCAGATTTAATTTTTTGAAACAAAATACAGATCACCCCGCTTCACTTGGCTAGAATTGCTGGAGATTTTCTCTGGAAATATAAAAATGATTAGTTTAAACTTTAGGCTTTCACTATGGTTAAGTGAAAACTAAAGAACTCTGGAAAAAGTAAGGTCTTAGGAAGACTCATGGTTCAGTGCTTAAAGCATTTGATCTGGGAAACAAATGCTTTTAAATATCTGTATTGATAATACCCCTAGAAAAATAGATGAGATAGTATAAAACAAAGTAAAGTAGAATTCTCTAATGTCAATTATAATTAAAAAATCACAATTTGACATAGTTACATACACATTTACAGAGCTTTTCTTTGACAAGTGACTGCATTAGGTGCTGCATGAGAAAAGGAGGGAAAAATAAGAACAATGCAGTCCTCAAAAGCTTAGGCATTAAAAGGAAATAATATAAACAAAGTCAAATGAAATCATAAGCCTTATCTGAGAAGTTACATAAGAATATGAGCATAAAAATTATTACTCATATGGGAAACCTTTGAAGGGAAGGGAAGTGATATTAATTTTTATGGTACAACCTTCCCCAAATAAACCACAATGAAAAAGAGATGACATAAAGTTTCAAAGGAAGTGATGTTTGTTCACTCTGTTATATCAGGGAAGAAAAAAAGAAGGGAAAGTGACAATCAAAATGGAGAGACAAGCATGACCAAAACCATGAATGAGGAATGGTCAATATTTGGGGGCAATAAAAGATATATATATATATCTTTTAAAGACAGATACATTATAGATTTTGAGAAGTGCATATATGAATTAGTTGGTTCTTAATAGTAAAGGAATATGATTTGAACTCTAAGAAAAATGCTGTGCTAGCAAGTGCAGATGGGCTGAAAAAGAGAGATAAGACTCAATTTGGCAAGAATATCAAGAAAGCAAGAACTAAGGACATTACACAGAGTGGGAATGCCAAGGAGAAATCAGACACCAAAGATGATATTGAAGGATAATTCATAAACAATGCAAACACTTAAGGGGCCAAGCGTGACAAAGGGGGCAGGAGATTGCCAAGAAAACCTGAAATTTTTATGCACAGGTAACCTATACAATCTAAAGCTATTAATAGAATTAGACCATCCAAGAAATGTGATGTAAATGTTTTTAGGGGAAGGAAAGGATGGTGATGAATTTTACACACAATAGGTTGAATCTGGGAGCACTATAAAACACTCAGATTAATTCATCCAGCAAGTGGGTAGAAATTTTTATCTGAATTTCAGAGCACAACATAACCATACAGTTAGGCTGTGATTGTGAATGAGGGACCAAGAAAAAATGTAGAAAATATTAGATTAAGAATATAAAAGGAGAGTTATCTAAACTCCAATAATTAGTGGAGAAAGTGAATCATAGTATGAAGAGGCTATAAATTGTTAATGTCTAAAAGTCATTTATTTATTGAAGTTTTACCATATAGCAGGTAGTTTGTCAAACTTTGGAAAAGAGGGATGCAAAATACATAGTCATTAACAAATGAATATCTAGAAAAAGTACTAATGGCAGAGCAATTATCAGCCTTAAATATTGTGAATTATCCATGTGAGATATTGAATAAGAACAACTGAATTTAGAATTCATATTTTATTTAACTTCCAATAAATAGGTCAAGTGAGATGGTGAGGAGTGCCATACAATTACAAAGAACAAGAGTGAAGAAGTGAAAAATATTGTTTATAAATTTTTCTTTCAAGTAAAAGATAAAATAGGAAATGGGAACAGGAAAAGAAGAGAAAGGAAAAAAAAAAAACGTACAAGGAATTAGTGAAAACTTAGCCGACTCTATGTCCAAATGCCTTAAAAATAGATTTAAAATACACAAACATTATCACTCACTTTACTAAATGTTTATGTTCCTGTAGTATATCAGTATGTTACTGATTTCTCCATAAACTTATCTGTACTTTTCTTCCTTCTAAGTTATATTTGGACTTTCACTGTGGTTTACAACACATTTGATATATTTGATATACTGTGTATTTTGATATATTAAGTAAATCTATTCACATGAGACAAATACACACTTCAACGTGTCAGATTGATGTTTCTTTTTGCTTTTTCTCTTTAACAACAAGAACAAGAGAGAATCACTCTTGGATTCATTTGGATTTTATGGTTTAACATTTTTATAGCTTTTAAGAAACAAGAATTATCTTTTGTTTAAAATTCTTTTACAAATAGAAAAAAAAAAAAAACTATGCTATTCGTTAGGCTAAACCTTGTAGGGTCTTTACAATGTACTAGCAGTCCAACAACTGTTATCTGAAAATCTCTTTCTAAAGATAATCTTTAAATTCTGAGATTGCCATGCATCCAAAATTCAAAAGGTTAACAGTTCTGTGCTTCTCTAGTGTGCTCTGTGTTACATCAGTTAAATCTCTGTGATAATTTTATAACGCTGCTGCAGAGTTCCTCTTTTGCATGTGGATTAAAATTTGCACAGTGAATTTCTTGGCATATAGATGTATCTTGGTCTTTAAATTAGAAAATATCTTTTTTATTTTAATGCCAGTATGATTTGTACTTCTTCCTGAAATTGAGATAGCCTTTAAAAGATTTCTCAGTGGACTTCAGTCAAAATAATCTGACAAAATTTTAATTTTGAAAATGTTTCTTTTGTACTTTTTTTTGGTGTCAGTTCTCTGTTGATACCCTTCCTTTATGATACTCGTTATTAAAGGAGAATGGTGGTGTGGTAAAGTGATATAACATGATTAGTATGTGTGAGGCCCTGGGTTCAATCTCAAGCACCATACAAAAATAACCAGACAAATAAATTAAAAAAAAAAAAAGAAGAAGAAGAGAAACAATTAGATAGAACTGCCAAAGTTTTGAATAAGAAAATAATTTCTTAGTTTAAGTTGACCTAGATAGTCACAATTCTTGACTTTAAATAATAGATTGTATTTACCTGTCTGAAACACTACATTTTATCACTTTCAAGTATTCTCAAAAATCTTCATATATCCTATGTTCAGTGGCATTTGCCTAAAATACATTTGAGGTAGTTTTATTTTCTGTTCTTACCCTGGATAAAGATTATATGGATTTAGCTAGTCATTAGACAATTTTGCAGTTGATGTGGTCAATGTCAACGTTTTTGTTAATTTGGGGAAATTTACAGGAGATTTTTCCCCTAAGTTATTCAAGTATTTTTATTTTGTTTCATAATGATATGGAAGACGTAGACAGTAACATCTATTGCTATTGATCATATGCTATGTATCTGTCATAAATATGATAATCATTCATTGAGTAAAACCACAATGTCTAGGAACCATTTTTCTGTTCTCTTATTTATTGACAGGTTTTTAAAATTACAACACAATGAATTGATGGTAAATACAGAAGATGCAATAGTATAAAAAGCCATTTAACCCTTCCCTAGGTTAAGACACTTACAGCAGACAAAAACTGCCCCACCCCAAGTCCCCTCCTTGAATGGAAATGAAATAAATATAAATTAATAAATACAAAACAAATCACTGCACAGCCCTTAACTCTTTGATTGCCATGGCAAGAACCATGCTGATGATTCTAGCTTGTGACATGTGTGGTTAAAGGTTGCCGCAGCAGTCAAAGGGTTATAGCATTGTAAACATAAGTACTTTGTGAAAATGTTCAGTCATGTTAATGGTACTAAAGCAATGGGATTAATAGCATGATCCCTTGACCTTTAATGGCGCAACATTGTAAGGTGTTAAGAGATAATAGCTTGGTGAGCCTTTACATAGACTAGTCAACCATTTTATTTAACAATGTGCTATGAGGCCTTGATTTATTAATAAAAGACAATTTGTAAATAAACACTGTTCAATGCACTGATCAAGAAAATCAATGAAAAATTAATTTAAGCACCACAAAATTTTGCCTGATTATATCTGACAGTCATAATACACTTTAGCACCATTTAATTAGCCATGTATTTGCACACAAACAAGCTTTGTGTTTGTCTGTAGAAGCCATCTGAAAAAAAAATCTATATATATGCCAGATTTAGAATGGGAGAAATGTACAGAATTCTGTGTAAGTGAAAGTCACAACTTATCAACTTTAGAACTCATTCAGCAAATAAATGAAATGTTTCATTCCTTGCACATTGAAAACTACATATTTAAAAAAAATAAGACAGTGTAGAGTGTAATATGAGCAATCTAGATACTTAGAGATAGATTTTAATAATCTTGCCATAACTAAAGATATTATGGGGAATTAAAGTTTTTTCAGACAGCCACAACATAATGGCCTAAATTTTTAATTTCCTGGTGTTTCTCTCTGCTTCACAGTATAATGTTATTTAAAACAAAATCTGTATTAATTTTAATTCTTTTAATTTTCCATAATTGCAATATAGGAAGGAAAATTATTTTTATAAGAAGCTATAAAATGTATATTGTTTAACCCATGAGATAACTTTTCTTTGCAATTATTTGCATCTCATTTGGACTCTGAAATATAATGTCTGTGCAATTCTTTAAATATATGATATTTATTTGACAAACTAAATTCATAGGAGCGTTCTCTCCTTAGTCTACCTAGTAAATCTATCTATATATATTATATATACACTATATTTCCAAATCTATATCACTAGATAGCTCATATGCATGTCATAAATCTCCATTCTTATCATACTGATCCACTACTGGAATCAGGATGCTAGTAAGATATACAAGTTTTAAAACATCTTGAAGATAGGTAACTACACTGATGAAGCAGGCAAATTTCTCAATGTCAATAATATTTGGTTTAAAAAAAATCAACAGACTATGAACTAATTTGGTTTTATGGTTTTGTTAAAAATTTAAGTTTATTAAAAGTTACATTAGCGCAAAATTGAACTATTAAACTCCATTCCCTCCTGTAATATAAAAACAAGACATATTTGTTTAAAATTAGATACATAAGATAAAAATCTTTTAAGACTTTTAAGCTTGAAGCAAAGCAATCTTTTACGGCCAACTCTCTAAAACCTCTGAAAATAGAGGCCAACGATAGCAATGCTGATGCAGTCCAAACCAAGGCAGCCAACAGCTCTGCTATCATACTCCTAATTCTTTTATTCTATCTCTCTTTCTAGTATATATGCACTTTATTTGTGAAGGGAATAGAGCAAAGAATCAAGGCTTCAGACATTCATGTCCCCGTGTACCTTAAACTGAACACTGTGTTATACTTACTTTACTGTATATTCATTCATGATGCACTTTCCAAAACAAATTTCCTTAGCTGCCTTGTCAATAAACAATGGCCATTATACTCACCATTTCACTTTTCTCAAGGAACAGCTCTTAAAAAGTTAGAAACTAATGAAGGAGACTGAGGCATGTGAAATGTACAAGGAGTAAGTATTTGCATGAAATTTCTGCAGCAAAATACTGAAGAACAAAGACATATTTCCTGGAAATTATCTCAAATACACAATGCTGTTCAGTTCAAGTTATTCCTCCAAACCATCTTACTTTTGGGTGACAAACAGAAAGCAAACAAATAATGATCTGATTCAAAGAAGCAGAAAAACCAGGCATACGCTCACCTTTGTCTGGAAACTATGTTGATTTGAAAGTAAGATTGTGAAATATTGTATTTATGAACATAGCAAAGAATAACGAATTCTATGTTAGATATGCAGTAAGTGACAAAAAGGACTAAAAATTCAATTTTATGCAAGCAATTGTATATTTTGAAGAGGTGTAAGAAGACAGAAGTGTGTCCTCTGTGATATTCTCGCAGTGATAGCAAATAAATTATGGCACTGATTTAAAGATAAATTTTGAATTATACAAAAAATCATTCATTCAAGCAAAGTGTGTTTAATCTCAGAACTGAGCCGTTAACTATAGAGAGGAAACAAGTTCAAATTGGCATTACAGGACAGCAAACAAAACATGCATCCTACTGACTTCTCAAGCAGGTAGCTCACACCAGGCTTCATTCATACAGGTCCTGGCAAGACAGGCCAATGTAGCAATATACATTCATATAAAAGGTGGCAAATACAAGCAGCACCATGTCATACTAGGAGGAAGCGTCCTACCATGCAGTCACATCTGACCAAAGCTTCATCATATAGAAGGCATGTCTAAAGATGCCTGTGTCAAAAGACACTTTGCCTGGGACTCATTCTAGCTAAAGTCCAAGAGCTACAAAAATGTCTCAATGGCAAGTGATGCTTCTTTTCATGGGTAAAAAAACGTGAATAAAATTGTCAGTATACATCTTCATTAGTCAAAAAGTTTCTTATTTCATTTTTGTTCACCATTGTCTCCAGGTTTTCTAAATGAACTAAAGATTAGTGATCTTTTGTTCTGAAGCTTAGTGACCTAACATGATAGTGTTATCATATTTTCATACTTATATTTAACTGCTATTTTCCCTTCTTAAGGGCATATAAAACTAGCTCTACAGCAGAGCACATGGTAAAGTTTTGTGAATTAGCACAACGTTCTAGTTTATGACATGTTCTTATACTGTCCAATATGCCCTTTAATGTAAGGACATATTGAGTACAAACTTGAATGTTATCGCCCTTCTTATGTTAGTGTAAGAAAAAATTTGAAGACATGCTACTCTTTAAACTAAAAAGGAATAGCATCCTTAACATTTCCAAATAGAAGTGTATTTCATGTTAATTTTTGTACATATTATATTCTGACCATGAATTACTAGTTATGCCCTCAATTTTCTTGAATGCCTGTGAAGTCTTTGTTATAGCACAAAGGCTCTTTTGGTTTTATATTCTTATGTGGTATAAAGAATTAGCATTGTGCTACAAAAGATGCATGTCATGTCCAGTTAGTTATAAACTCATAGCTCTCTTGCAAAACTGAAGGCTGCTACTTTTGTCTTCTACCCAGAAAATTATCATGAATTTTGCAATACCACATTTTTCCTTCAATTTCTGTAACTTACCAAATCAGTATTCATTTTTAGGCTTTCTATACTATTGGCTTGAATTTCAAAGCAGACATATGTTGAAAAGATGTTTGTAATTGGACATGGTTAGTCTGACATGAACTATTTCAGAGTCACCTCAAAAGTACATCAATAGGAAACATGAAAAATGATTCGAGTGGTACTTTATTGTCAAAGGTTACAATCAGATGAGACTATAACACTAAGGCAACTTTTTTGCTACTATGCCAAGTGTTTTGTATTATATGACTATTGAGGTAAACTTCTATCCTAGGGGATGGCTTTGCTCAGGGGATTCTAATATTATATACTTTTCCAATTGAGGTTACAGAACACCTACTTCTGACAATTTTGGCCTCTGAGGCAATGCATGATTATCAGATGTGTTTAGGAAGATAACATCTAATGACCACTGGCTAAATATATACACTGATATATCACTAGTGAGAAGAGTTGGAAGGTGCATTTTTCACTATTTTTATACTTGCTAAGGTAAAATTTCCAGTTGCTTTAAAGAGTATTAGAGTATGTCTTTCCATTTTTCCTCCTCCTCCACTTATTAAATATTTAGCTTTCATATTTGTTGATACTGTCCCTTGGTGGTGCTTTCTTTATTACCTAAAGTCCTCATTTTTAAACTAAAACTGTTTGAAGTTTTCTGATATAGCTACAGGTGCTTCTCAGGAAAGTGGAACCTATTTATGTTCTGCCACTCATTTCCTGTGGTGGTAATAAATCAGTATCACGAAAGTGCACCAAGTCCAATGCAATGGTTACATTTTTCAGTATGATTTGACTTGACACCTTTTGTGATCTCATGTTTTAACTGAAACTGTAGTTACGGCTATTTGTAAAAGGTCATCTGAATTTGACATTTTTGGGTTAAAAGGTATGCTCTGTTTGACATTGTAACACTTTGGAATATACTCTTAAAAACATCAGAAACCTTTCGCTGTGTCTTCTGCAAAAGCCTGTCATCCCCAAGATTGTTTTGTTATATACTACAATTTCACAGACTCAACACATCAATAAATCACGACCTTTATTAGTTTTTGGAAATAATTCCAAAAACTTTTTTAAAAGATCATTTTCATGACTCTTGTTTAACAAGTCTATTTATAAATAATATCCATTCCTCTTCAAACAGCACACTGAGTTGAGTCAATATGGACACACTGGTTATTCTACTGTAAGAGCCACAAAGTACTGGTCTGTATTTGTACCATACTAGAGATATCAACACAATATGTATCACTTGCAAATATTACATGATTATCCCTAGGATTCAGTATATACACCATCATTCATAAATTGTAACTGCCAGTGAAATTTGGGTAATGTTTCACCCACTACATTGTGTCTTAAAATCACACAGAAAGGAAATAACTACAGAGTAGATGAAAAGCCAAATTACGTTTCAATAAAAAATTATAGGCAATATGACTAATAAAATTAACATTTGCTAATTTCAGTAAATCAGTCTGTATCCTTTCTTACTTGGTAATTTTTTGGGGAGTAATCATTACTTAGTAAATTATTACATATGATTCAGTAAAATATTGCTCTCTTAGCTAGCAGAAATTATCTTTACTAGTAATATACAATGTTCTTTAATTTCACTATGTAGTTTTTATAATTGTAAAGGCATTCATAGTCACTTGGAATGACTGTGGTTGCCCATAGACATTTTGTTCTGAAATGGGCCAATAGTTAAATTTACAACTTTTTCAAAAGGTCTGATGAGGAATTACTGCCTCCCAGAGATTTCAAGCTGATTAGCTATTTTAATACACCATTCAGCTAAAGTAGTAACATACAAAACAATATTTCATTAAAATTATAAGTTATGAAATCATTTTATGTAAACAACTTTCTGGTTTAAATCTGTGTCAATATTAAATTACAAGAAATAATGAAACAGAAAGATTATTTTGTGTGAGAATGAATGTGTTTTCACTTTATTTGGGAAAACCTAGGTCTGAACTTCTGCATTACTTGTGATGAGATGTTGAAAAACGCTTGAAAGGTGCATATCACTACTGATACTGAGCTGACACAGTGCATTGTTGACCCATGTAAATTACTATACATTGATTTTTAATTACAATTCTCATGTGCTAGGCCACAGTTACCCTCCCTTTCACTATTCTCTAAGAACTGACACATTTTTCCAAATTTCAAGTGGAAAAGGAGGCAGCAACCTTACTCGCAAAGTGCCTGGTATACAATAAACAAATGGAAATTCAATGTTTGTGATTACACTGTACTTATTATTTTATTTCTTGCATTCTTACAGTCTGATAAACATTCTAGTCAAGACAGCAACCTCCTATGCTTTTTCTTATCACATAAAACTCTTCTCATATTCAAATTAATATGACCCAAACCTCATCCATGACTTTTACCAGGATTCAAGCAAAATGATAGACACCTTCCTTCTTAATGCTATGATTATTTTCTAGCCCTTGTATACTTACAGTCTTGTGGTGAATCATGATATTGTGATGAACGAATAAAGAGGAAATAGATTGCTTATTCTGTTTCTCAGTCTAGAGAAAAATTTTTTCAATGTAGATTGATGGAGTTCCTCAGTGATTTGCACATGTCCCAAAATGACACAGTTCCGCATTTCTATCTTTAGCAAAATATAGTTTCCAATATTTTTTTTCTTTTTTTTTTTTTTAGACATCAAGGTCCTGAAAGGATTAAACCTTTCTATCAGGAAACACTACATAAACAAGCTTATATAAACTCCTCTATGCTCAGCAACAGTGATTAACTTTATAATACCAGCATCATCTAGAATGGAAGCACTGAAGTAAAGCTACGGGGTTGATTCTGGTTCTCTCTCCTTGCTTTCGTGGCCCTCTCTTTTTTGATCTTCATCTATTAAAATCCAGTCTGCATTGCATGATGTTTTGCTGTAAAGCCACTCCTCTTTACTAACTGCCTTTTTTTCTTTCTTAGAGTTACAGTATGCTCAGATCTGCGAGGCCTTCCAGCATGCCACCCATGATTAGAAAATATTTCCCCCAACCAAGTCATAAACATGTAGTTTAACCAAAAGACATTCTAATTTTCATGCTATGTTGAGTATAAATATAAATTCAAGGCAGCCAAACTATCCATTTCCAAATAAGAATGTATACCTACACTCAGTAAAAATCATCTGGAAATGTGTATTATTAGCAAATGAGTAAGAAATTTTCACTAGTATAAAATTCCTGCTTTATATAAAAGCCACACTGGCCATTCAAGTATTTGAGGTTTTTTTTCCCCTATAGTTTTTAATAATTTGTAATAAAATGATGAAGAACTTACTTAGGCTTGAAATTATATGAAAGGAAAATAAGTCACTTCTACCTATAGGGCATTTTTGAGAGTGTGCATGTTAGGAGCAAAGTGTCCACCGCAGACGCACTGCCCACACCCTTTCTCTCTCCGCTTTAGGGAAACAGCTCGTGCTTACTAGGTTTTAGAGAACAATTCAAAACCCAACAGAGAAGCCACAGCAAAATTCTTTCAGTTTGTGCCAGTTTGCAAGTTAAAGGTCAAAGGGCAAAAACATAGAACAGGACTCTTCAAGGAAAATTTTCACAGAAGACAATGTTTAAGTTGTTGTTAATGACAGTCAACAGATCAATAATCAAGTTCAAGGCAAGCTGTTCATTGTTTCAAAAGCTAATCCCCTCAAAAGCCGGCTTTCACACAAAGCCAGCGTCTACCTCACGGGGTGCACTCCTTCTGACCATCTCTAATAAGTTCACAGCCCAGTGGCTGCAAAGCCTTTCACTGCAAGAAGCAGCTCCTAAAAATCAATAAAGAGGTCTGTCAGTTGCTGACTTTTCTCTAGGAAAAAAATATTGATACAAACCTGCTCTGCAGGTCACATGAAAATGACAATACTGCTGTTAGGACAAATTACACTCAACAATGAAATGCTTTGGTGGTCTCTTGGCTCTGTCAGTAATCAAATGGATGGCTAAATGTCAGAAGCCACACTAACCCTTTGAGAACTATGGTTGACATGCAATAGATAATGCACTGGAGGACATTCATGCAATCTCAGTCATCATTTTAATTCATGTTTAAGTGGCAATGTTAACTGCACTGTATCAAGGCAAATTGAATTTTCATGCAGTGGGTTTTAAAATAAAAATTCAATATGTCTAAGGGAAGAAAAGGCTTAGATTATGATAACCAGTGATTGAAATAAAATTTCACTCTTATGAGATACTGTTAACAAAATATCACTTTTATTTGCCAGAAAATGTTTGGCAAGTAACATCATTTCTGTTCATTATAAATGCATTTATGTAGTGCTGTAAATCACTTAGGAATTACAAGAGATCAGAGAACATGTTATAAAAACTGGAACTTCTTCAACCTGTCATAGTTTTACCATTGCCTAGTTCTAGCTCTCACTGGATAGTAAGAATCTTAAAGCAAGTCTGATAGTTCTCAAAGGGTTACACCAATGTATTCACGAGACTCGTCAATCCTTGTAAAATGACTGTCACTTAATCTACTTCAGAGACACAATGCTTTTTGCTCTGCTTTGTAATGAATATTCCTGACAGACCCATGGAAGGCCTGGGGCAATTGCCTAATACAACCAGGGCAGATCATCACAACGATGTTGGGGTCAGGTGGCAAGAAGGGGTTTAGAAATACTTCAAACAATTAAAAGATCCGGTTGGAAGATAGCTATGAATATAAATGTGATGAAACATTGAGGACGTAGCTGAGAACAGCTGTAGAAAATGAAAAATGGATGTATTATTAAGGCTGTTACTATATTGCAGATATTTTGGCCCCTTGTTTGTTGGAAAATGGCTGTCCCAACGGTCTGAAGTCCTGCATGTGTTTTCCAGATCTCCCACCTGACTGAATGATGCGCAGGAGACTATCCATAGCAGTCACAGAGCTATCTTCTTTGGAGACAAAGCTGTTTTGGGTCTTCACACTTTCTTGAAAGTTCAATTGTGGATTTTTTTAAAACTTTTTTTTCCTTTGATTTAAAGCAAAAATAAAAATTGTGGGGTTTCTGTTTTGCTTCCTTTTATGTTTTCTGTCCCATAAATGGACTTCAGGAATAAAATAATATTAGAAAATTTTAAGAAGAATCTTTTCTTCATATTCTTTTTCCTCTTCTTCAGGTAATCCTGAAATTTTACTGGGCATTGAGCGTGCAGAGAAAAGGCCTAGAACTGCATGACAAAGAAAGACAAAGGACTGAAGAACGGCAGATACTGTGCATCATGGAATCTTCCCCATGAGTGTGTCTCCACTCATGTGCAGGACCAGCAACCTTCTGGTGTGGAAGGTCAGCCCCGAACCAGGCTGCCACAAGCCTGCTCCTAGCTAGGAAACAGCATAACAGCTCTTGTCTTGAATCTCAAGTTACCACAAACTTCTGGAAAAGAAAGAAAGAAAAAGAAAACCCTACATCACACCCACTCTTGCATAGAGCGTTTACAGTACAGTATGTGGCGGGGTGTTCCTTTCCTCTTGAACTGGAACACAGTGTAAACCAATACAAGGAGGCATAAGGCCAAGATGCAGGGAATGACAATAGCTATGGCTTTCACAGTGCTGGCTGTGTTGTCCAGTTTAATGACAATGTCTACATCATCTGGTGGGATGTGTCCTTCTTTAACTCTGTCCGTTGGTCCATCACAGCCCATAAAATCCTTGAGGATGGATCTTGGATATCCAGGTTCTACCTTGAGTATCTGGTTGTTGAACTTCCAATATTCCTTTCCTTTGTAGAAATATGTAAAGCCTGGGGGAAAACACAAATGGATAGAATTTAGTTGTGAAAGTGTGCATGGTTAGAAATATTAATGAAATAGGCTATTGCTTAAATATCTTAAGGTGCTTCAATTTTCATAGGAAGAAAATACAGTCAGCTGTTTTGCAGTAGCCCTGGCTGCTGTGTTCCGGAAATCATGTCTTCTAACGACCAAAGGAAAGCTCAGCAAAGAGGAGGGTGGAGAAATGTTATCTAAAGAGAACTGGCACAAGACCAAACTCTATGTATCTACTCCTACTCTGCACTAGAAAGAGAACTTTATCCTTTTCCTGGCTTGCAGGAATGTTGTCACGGAATTACACATTAGTGTGATAATATCAACCTACACTGAAAGATGCTGAAACAGCACTGTTTATCTGCAGACTACCACTGAGGACACTGCTCAATACATTTTACAAAAGCTTCTCACTTTACACTTCAAGGGAAATTTCTCATCATTTTAGCATTAGACACCTGTACTCCTCCTAAACAGCAAGTTTCTTTTTGTCACTTGAAGAAAGCATCATAAATCATCAGACAGCAGGTGTTTGGTCTGCTAGGAATCTTAACAAATAAATAGATATTTGCAGTATTATGTACACTAACCTCATTTTTGGTTCTGTTTTCACTATTTTGTTCCCTTCATTTAACTTTTTTTACTTAGTTTAAGCTAACTTTTTGTCAGCTAGCATTATTGCTGGGAACATTTAAAGCCATTATTCATCTTTATAGAAACAGAATCTAAGCAAACATGTTCATTTCAATGTATCTAAGTAACTTATAATTCATGAAAGATGACATGGCCTATGGAAGACTCAAATAACTCAATCTGTGTAGGAGTTATTTGAGTCTTTTCAGACATATATTATGGCTGCAAATTATAGATTTTATAAGGTCATAATAATTTCCTTAGGATGGTTTTCTCATTTTGTCTCAATTTCCTTAGGATGGTTTTCTCAATTTTTAAGACATACACACAGCATTTCTGAACATAGCACTTTAATTACTTTAAAATGTATTTTTAGAGTTATCTACTTTTAATATAAAGGATACTTAAGTGTTCATAATCATTAATGAAGGTATTTTCCTATTTTATGGAGAATTTATGGGAGAATCACAGTGCTGTAAGCTTATTGTATATGAACTCTTTCAATCCTCATGGCCATTATGTCAATTATAATTAATTACTCATTCTTCTCAGGCAACTGTATTAAGGTTCAGAAGGAAAACAAAAAATTCCTAAAGTCTTGAGGAAGCAGGATTTAAATCTTGGTCTAAATCTAGAGCTGCACACTGAATGATATTTCCAAATTAAACAAGAAATGTTGCAATAGACCTAACTCTTGATATGAAGAACTGTGACATCTCACATGAAATTTCAGAAAGGACAGACCATCACTTCAGGCCACCTCATCTTGGAAATCATTCTGTCCAATGCCATAAAAATCTGCTGTTGCTTTTAATTTCAAAGGATAGTTTTGTAATTGGAACAACTTGCCAAATGAAAACAGGTGTGTGTAGATTCAAATTTTTCTGCAGGGAGCTGGTATTTGATCACTCTAATGAAATCCAATGTAATTACTCAAGAAGCTTGGATGAAGACATGCTGAGGGCCTGCCAAGTAACAGCATGTTAGGTGATCAGAGCTGAATGAAGGCATTGATTTAGAATTAAACAATGCTTCAAAATAAGTGAACATACATTTTATGTTTATAATTTGGAATTTCTGAAACAGTACTAATCTTCAATTTTAAGCCAAAGGTAATTACTACAAAGCTACTGGGTATCAGACAAAAGTTAATAATTCTCATTTTCATACTTTGTAGTAACTTATTACATATATAGGGGTAGTATTTATAGTCACTGGATCCAAACATTAGAAAAAAAATCCAGTCACTATAAAGTAAATAATGCATTTGAAAAGTCTGATTGCGGTAATATAATTATGTTATATTATACTGAATATGTTATATTATGTCATGTTATATTACAGTGAATCTGAAAACTACATCACATCCAGTAATTTTGTGTTTTTTCATTTATGAAATATGGGCCAGGGATGTAGCTCAGCAGCATAAGCAGCTGCCTGGCAAGCAGGGTTGTGAGTTTGATTCCTGGTATCCCCTGACAAAAAATACCTAACGTTTATGAAATATTAGTTAGCTAAAGAAGTGTTTAGGTACCTGCATTTAAAAAAAAAAAGCAGGTATACTGTTATATTCCTATGTATGCTATGCTTACTAAGAAGGGAAATTTTGGGCCAAGTGTGATGGGACATTGTTATAATCTCGGGCACAGTACTCGGGAAGCCAATGAAGTAAGAGTTCAGGTTAAGGTCTAGCTGGGACAACTTAGTGAGATTTTGTCTCAAAATAAGAAATAGAATGGACTGGGCATGTAGTTAAATGGTAGAGCACCCCTGAGTTTCATCCCCAGTACTCACCTCATCTTCCAACAAAAAGAATAAAACATTTGAAACACAAAATTAATGGGGTCATAAGGTGTTACTTAATGTTTTTTTCTCTTATATGTGATTGGACCTTACTGGAGATTGTTTTTGTCTCATGTTAATAATGCAATGGGACAGTCCCCCAGAGCTGTTATGTTATAACTTGGATGTTCTCCAATGACTTCTGTTCTCTTCTCTGCTCTTACATATTTATTGGTTAAATTAATTAGTGCTCAGTAAATGTTAATGGACAAAGAGAGTCTTATGGAAATATTTATGTGAATAAACTTCTAGATTTTAAGAGCGTAAGCAATGAAACAGAATTAACCAAGAATTAAAATTATAGGCTAAACATCCTGGGGCTGAGTATTAACTCTGGGATCTTGTATGTTTTCTTCAAAATTGAAACTGGAAAAAGAAAATATAGAATGCTTGAGAGGCATGACTTTATAACAATTAATATAAAAATTAACTGAAGGAAGTGGGTATTTTTCATTTTGATTTTAGTAGTTAAAGCCCATGTAGTTGTTTTAAAAACACCATTATTCCAATGTATACTGCATCGATCAAATATCATATGGATTATTGTAGTTATTTTAGGGAAAACAAAAAGTGAAGCAGAAAAACACAAGGAAATATGAAAGAAGGGAAATAAGAAAACTGTTACATTAATATAGTTTTAGTGAATCACATGAGGGAGATGGCTCAGAAAACCGCACACTAAGGAAACTTGGGTGAGATCAGTATGACTAAATGAAAACTATAACCAGATATACTAGATAGTTATTATTAACAATAAAATATAGAAATATACATATTTACCTTTGGAGACAGTATATTATAACACATTCATTAGAGATAAAATGTTAAACTTTTAAGAATTAGGTATAGAGGTTACTAGCTTTATGATCAAGAGTGACTTATGCAAACTGATATTGTTAAAAAATAGTGTTGGTTAAAGAGGTATTTATGGAGGCCATTTAAGAATTCTTTTAACACAGCTGACACAAAGTAGACATTCAAATGATACCAGATGGTCAGGTTATTTCACTGACATAAAATGGCAGAAACAATATTACAGAGCAGACATTATGGGGAAGCATATTTCACCTTAATGTGAAAACATACAAATGTGTAGTTTAATTTTAAGGTTCTGGATTCAAAAAAATTACCATTGGGAAATAATTCCTTTAACAATGGATTCCTGCAATGTCATATGAGTGAAAATGTTTCAGTACTCCATCATATTTTATTTTATGACCGACATATCATATACAAGTCATGTTGTTTTGTACTGTTAAGTGATTCTACATACACTGTAGTCTGACCATATGGACCAGGGATCTTTATTGTCTGCCAAAACTCTACACCAAAAAATATATGGAAAATGACAACCTTTAATATGAATTATCACCGAGTGTCTTTGTGTCTCAGCCTGCACTAATATCTTCCTCTTAAGGGCTGTTCCTGTCCCACATATATTTGTTATTATTGTCTTTACAGGTACTTCTTTTTTTTTGTGATAGGGTTTTACTATACAGTTCAGTCTGGCCTTGAACTTGCAAGCAATCCTCCTGCCTCAGCCCCTCAAATACTGGGATTACAGGCACGTGTCACCATACATAGGCTTCTTTAGAGGATTTTAAAAAGAAATGTAGGTGAGATTATTTCAAAGGTATCTACATACTCCATATTAAAATATTACATATAGCCTTTAATAATATTTTTTAAAATAAACAAGTTGAGCTTTAACAAAATCTAGAGTGCATAATGGTAAATGTGAATCTAGGAAAGTTTATGTATTTATAAATATTTATCTTGTACAGCTCAATATGGTGCTTTCCAATGATTTCACTTAACATAGTAAAACAGGAAATTCTTTTAGTAAAGTAGATAACATAAATGTATGATGTATACAATGCATACCATTTTCTTTGTGAACAAAAGCTCCCTGAGGAGATTCAGGGATCCCTTTCCAGACTGTGATTGGCTTGGGGTAGCCAGGGTCCATGGTTTTCATTTCTTCACTGTATCTCCAATACCTAAAAATGAGAGAACAACAATAGGTGCATAGAAAAAGGCATGTATATAAAGCAATAGCTAACATTCATTAATTCCTTGCTTTATGCTTGGTACTGTTACTTGTATACCTGCCACTGGTTTACAGTACACTTGATTTAAATCACTGGACAGAGAGGACTGAAAGCATTTATTTTGTTCTCCTGAAAACATTAACAATATGTATGTTATTATATATATATATATGTATATGTTATATATTTTATATAATATATATTATACATATATGTTAAAAGTTAGTCTTTATTCAGCCTACTAAAACTGAAAGATGCCAAGTACACTATGCTAGGTATATTTACAATTTATAAGAGTATCATCAGCACACATATTCTCTGTGAATATGTTAAAACTTTTATATTAGTAGACAGAAGAGTCTTTGATAAGCTGACGTGTGAGCAGAAAGTGACAAATAACACATTTAGGCTTTGGGAGAGGAACATTTTAGGAGGTGGACCAAGGAATTAAAAGTCCTCATCTACCTGAGGCTAGACCTCAGCTAGTAGAGATTAGATAGGCCTTGACACTACCGCAGAACCTTTTTTTGTTTCTCTAAGAAGCCAATACACATTTTGAGCAGAGATGCATTAACATATGGCTTATTGTTTAAAAGAATACATTAGCTGTTTAAAAGTACTTGAAAATACTTTAAATAGGTAAAATAGAAACAGGATCATCAGTTCAGATGCCACTGCAGTAAACTTGAATCAAGCAGTGAGCAATAGAACTGATAATAATTCAAGGGATTAGAATACATTTGAGAAAAGATCTCAAAGGTTTCCCTAAGGTATTGTATTCTGAAAGTGAGAGAGAAGGAAGGTAAATATTACTTAAGAACTCTGAGCTTGCTTATCTGGAAGAATTCTGCTGCAGTGAGGGATGCCTTTGGTAAAGGGCATTGCAGAGAAGAAATTGGGTATGAGTACAGACCGTAGGACTGATACTGATTGTAGACTTCAATGTATAGATGGTAAAACAGAAGCGAAGAGCAGAGAATCAGAACAACCAGCTCTTGCTCTTTCTCAGGACATACGTGGGCCACATTTACACAACCCCTAGACATCCATGGAATTTGTTATCATTGTTATAATTTACTGTTATTTCTGTTATCCATAATTCTAATTGTGAAACCAGTTCATATCTTGATGTTCTGAACATTAACAAAATTGAGGCAAGACCACTGAGAATTCACAGACATAGTGCCTATTTTAAGTATAATGCTAAATTCATTGGTCATTAAAAAAAGAAATCACAAGATAGTCATCATTGAACCTATTTGAGAAAGGAATAATTCTTGAAGGGAAACAACAGATGACAGCTACGTGTATAACTAGGTTTTTTCAATTTCAAAAGTCTCCATTATTTTCTATATGAGTATAGCTTTCAAATTTATTTCACATCACAAAGTATGTTTCCAAATTTATTTGGCAGCTATCCTCCCTCCTCAGCTAAATATCTATGATTATCTACAGAAGCTAGTATTTTACACACTCAGGTTTTGGAAATGCACAATTATTTAATATCCTTGGATTTTCTATATTGCCTGTAATTAGAAAATACAAGTATGTTCCACTAAGAATTTTTTTTTTTTGTGATAGGGTTATGGAAGATCTGTCCACAGAGCTGTGGAATATCATCTAGAATGTTTTGTTTTAAATTTCTAAAAATCCTTCTCCAATAACATTTGGAATATCAGCACTTCTTCTATCTTTAATTTTCACATGGGAAGAAAAAAAAGATTGCCTCAAAAAGTGTTCCAGTTAGTAAATTATAAGTCACAGGTAGTCCAAAAAGGGAAAAGAAAAAAATCAAATCAAAACAAAACAAAACAAAACAAAACACGTCTCACAGGTCCTCATCACATGCAAAATGAGTGGTCAGAGGAGCAGACCAGAAAAAGCTTAATGGAAAAGTACTGAGCTGAAATAGTGGTGGGTAGCTGGGACCTGTCATGAAGACAGCAAATAAAAATCATCAGTATATCATGTCACGTTTTCAAAAATCTTTCACTGCTTGTGGAAACATCTCATTTTAAATTGGTTCTGAATACTCCTTTCTTTTAGAAGAATCTGTGATTGACACAGAATGATTAATGTGGTTGAGACCATAATCTCTCTTCTTGAGTCAATACCTCAGTAAGGTTTACAGTGATCATGCGTGTTAATTGCTTTGCACAGTTAACTAAAGCTTCTGACAGGAAAGAAGGAGCTTATTTCACAGTGCTAAGAAACTTATTTTTCTCTAAATCTCATAAAGTACCTTACAATCAATGTAGAGTCAAAGTTTGCTTGTCAGGGTTTTCTCTTTAGTAATGATCTAATGGTGATATATCTTACAATAACTGAGAATTTTAGATAACATAATCCGTAAGGTAAAGTGAGCTTTAAAATGTCAACCTAGAAGCCTAGGATAATTTACAATCATGGGACAATGTGATCTCTTAGTAACATACTGTATAGTTTACTGAGTATTAGTTTACTAAAGAAGTTTACTGAGATTAGTTTACTGATTAGTTTACTAAGAAGTAGTTATATTGTTACTTATGTAAAAATATGTATACTTTATACATCTTTTATCCCATAAAATAAATTTATACAATCCATTATTTTATGCTCTTTCACTTAAATTTCTGAACATTTTGTATTGTATAATGTTATCAACTATCGTAACCTAACCGCAATAGGACATACTATCACCCAATTCAGTCAATGATAGAGCATGGAGCATTAGTCACCTTGGCTCTATTTTTATGTGGTAGAAATTAAATTTAAATTAATGCTGATTCATAGTTCAGTATGTTTTTTTTTATCATGTTGCTTCTAGTATTTTTCTCAAAATAGCATTCTGACAAATTTATCTGTCATTCTTACTAGCTTGATGCTTTCACTCACACAGTGTTCACTGTTTAAGAATAATTTCATTCATCTGTTTTTATATTTCCTCAGATCACTGACCCAGAAATATTTTCTGAGGACCTATACTACATGCTGTACCCTTAACATTAATTGGTAATTTGTGGAATGTGAATTTTATTAGACTCCTTTATAGGACTACAATTCTCACATGAATTTGTCAAAATAAAATAATATTTTTCTCTGATAGAAAATAATATAAAATTGGGATTTGGGATCACTTCACACTCTGAAAAACTCAGCACAGGATTGAGTGCTCAAGATGTGTGCCCCTTGTCACACTGATGTTTGTCAAGTAAACATAAACATGATTAGATTATTTAACTACATTCATGGTTGTCTTATAAAAGATTGTAGGGGTTATCTATAAATACAGGTTCCTATTTTAGTCTCCAACATTTTTTAACATATTTCAGCATAAACCAAAAACTATTTCACTGATTTTTTTCTGCAAGAAAAATAAGTTCATGGATTCATTAAGAATGGAATTAGCAAGTTTAAATTTTAATCCTCTAAAGAAAACATTTGAGGGATTTGAAATTCAGATTTTATAATAGAGAAAATTTGAAAGTTTTGTAGAGTCAACTAATAATAAAGCTAGGATAAATGAATGTAGTTTTTTAAAATTAACTTAATTTTTCTTCTGATTAACCAGTTATCTCTACTTCAGAATTTTATCTTTTCTTAGATAATTATTTGAAAGAAGCATTCTTTGTCAAAGTTTCAAAACAAAATATGATCAGAAATAACATTTACAATCAGTTTTAGACTTCAATATATATCACAATCATAAGAGAAGTTACATAATTTCATACAAACATTTTTCAAATTCTTTCTGTACTAATAAAAATTGTACCCAAAATTCAGGAATAAAATTTTTGAATGGGATGTAGCTGCACACTGAACTCCAAACTGAACACCAAGTGATCATTTCGGATGAGTCAGCTGTTTCTAAAAGCTAGCAGTCTAAATTGTTAGCAGAGGTAAGAATTTTTCATTTTGTTAAGTTATCACAAAATAAAAAAAAATAATTTTTTCATACCTAAATAATCTCTCTTCAGACAGTCTTAAAAATGCAACAGAATAAAAAATACTAACTTTCACTATGTTACTGAAAGACTAAAAATGCATGCATTATGTAATTATAAACTTGAAGCCAGGGTAAGGTGAAATAAAACTATTTTTCTATTCACTATAAATGATAATGTACAATAATTCCAAGATGGGTCAATATTTTGTCCATTTTATGTGAAAATAGCTTAAAATTCTCAAAAATTTAACTTAGAATGAAATATGACTCTAGAATCTTGGATGTACTTATGAGAAGATGCTGAGAAAGATATGGAAACATAGCATTTTGGAGTTAAATGCTATGAAGATCAAAATGTATCCAAGTATCATATTATAGTGAGCTCTGAAAAGGTCAAAGAAAAATCTGAGGGGCTGGATCCCATGCAGTATGTGCCACAGTGAAAGAGTAGATATTTTCATCTGAATTTACAGTTCTATCTAAAGAAGCACCATTTCCTCTACTCTTTGGTTATCTCTAAACTGGATTTCATAACGGCTTCTACTTTCAATACCTTTAGTGGCAATTACTCTCAAATGTGCGCTCCCATCTGGTCTTTCCACCAAGTTACAAACTCGTTATCCATCTACCTTCTTGAATGCTCTCCCTTGTGTGTAGATAGGTACCTCAGTCCAAGTAGAGATATTCCAGTATCTTAAGTCATTTTCCCCAATATTTTTCTCCTAAATCCTTTACCTCAAGCAATGCCACAACTTGTTCAATTGTTTAGGTGAAGCCCCTGAGATCACCTTTGATTTGTTCTTTTCTGCCTTGTAAAAGCAAAGCCATAAGAACTTGTGATTATGTTCAGAGTGTGTGCTGTAGGCTTCGCTTTGCTTCACTGGGAGTCTCTCTGCTGGGTCTCACTATAGTTCTCTAACCACCTCTCAAACATCTTTCTTGCTTCCATGCTTGAAGTCCATTTTTCACACAGAAGACAGAAGGACCCTTGTAAATTCACAGCTCTTTCCCATTGAAACCCCGCCAAGACCTTCCCATTGTACTGAGAACACAGGCAGAACTCTGCTCCGTGGCCCAGGGGACCCCATATAATCTGGTCTTTGCTTACTTGCTCAGTCTTATCTACCACTTCATCACTCTGCTCTGGCTACAACGCCTTTTCCTGCTTTCAACCAATTCACTTTCATTCCTAAATTACTATCTTTCCACAGCTATTTCATCTATGGACAACATGTTTTTCTGAGTAGCTTCAAATAGCTAAAACTCTCCCTTGCTCAACCCAAAGTTCAAGTATCCCAGTCAGAACCGAGCCCTTTCCTGACCTACACCGTTTACTTCTCGAGTCTCTGTCACATCATAAACTTGTATTTCTTTGTAGCATTTCTAAATGTGAAAATTATCAGGGTTATTGATTTGTTTTCTGTTTAGCACCTGACTCTTCCAGCACAATGTAAGTGCCATGGGAACAGGAGTCAGAGCTCATTTCTATGTCCTTATTACCAAGCCCATATCAGAGGGTATGTATTTCAAAAATACTTTCTGAATGTATTAATGAGGGCTAGGTCAGCACTGATACAGAAATCTTTAAGCAGACATTAAAGCTGAAAATGGAGTAACTGCCTCTTATTTGCACTGTCATTTGGGGAGACTGATGCATAATTAAATGCAGAATGAATGTACAGTACTGATAAATGTCACTCTGGAATTACAAAATTACATAAATATAAAGTAATAAATAAATTACCTACGTTTGATCTTAGCCAAAAGGCTAAGAAATTACAAAACATCTATAGCTCATGATATCTCACGCAAAATCAAACAGAAATTATTTGCAATCCTACAGAAATATTTTTAAGAGCCTAAAAAAGCACAGTAATTTAAACAAGTAAAAATAATAAAAGTATTTCTATACCTTGTACTCTGTTTTGCATATAGCTTTTCAAGTAAGAAGTAAATGAAATAAAAATATTTTCCCATTTGTCATCTTATTATAAATTCAGTATCTAACTTTCATTGACTTAACTATTTCGAACTACCCGATGTTTAAGCTGCAAAATTAAATTTTTCAATAAGTTCTAAATGTTTAGAATAGAAAAGTTTTAAGAAATAGTATGCACATATATCAGGAAGGAGAGTATATGATCATGAAATGTCAGTTTATAACACCATCTATGAAATTCTTCTTTGAACTGTTACATGGAAACTAAATGTTTTTCAAAGTCACACCTTAGCCTTTGGTTTCTATCCCTTTCTTTTTTGGAGCTAGTGCTAAAATGAGGCTATACATGCAATTATAATTAGCTGGAGAATGGTATGAGTGGTCACCATGCTTTAGCAATAAAGTTCTTTATTCTTCTTCCTTCATATTCTGACATACTTACATCTGGTTGAAAGTCATTATGCTTTCTGTGACTACAAAACCACATCTCTGATGAAGCATTTTGTTTGTAGTTTAATAAGGGACACTCTAGCTTCCTTCTAGTGAATAAAAAGTTTTGGTTTCATTATAGTGAATAAAAATCTATGAATATTTTGCTACACAAATGTAGTGTACATAAAATGTGTAACAAAATAAATTTAGAAGTATATGTTCTTTTCATGGAGACCAATTATAGGGAGTTTATTCACAGTAATGCTCAGTTTCTGAAATAGATTACCATTAAAATTGTAAATTTAAAAATAAGTTTATGGGAGCATTTTGTGGGGTTCATTTATGTTAAGATAATGAGACAAAGTCTAACTGGCATGCTGGATATTAACGTCCGCTGTGTATGTGTGTGAGTATGAGAGGTGACACAGTGGCAGACCTTCTACAGCCACTAAGGGATAATTATAAGCTTCAGTAATGCGATCCAGCTAGAAACAAGGCAACTGAAATTTGATTTTTCATCTTTATTCATTTTTCTGCATACCATTTATTTAACATAATAGAGCTTTGCTTCACTCTTACAAATATTTTTATATAAGATGTGTGCCAAAAATGCACAGGTGTATTTATGTATAGCAAAATCTCCTGTGACTTATAAGACTAACAATTTACTTACATTTTGTGGACCCTCTGAACAATTTCACAAAAAGAAATAAAAATAAGAGTAAAACAGTAGGGAAAGCATATCACACTGTATGTTAAACTTTTATCCCAGTGGGAGTTTGTCAATAGTTCACAATACCTGCTTGCTGGTACTTAAATAAAATAGATTTTTTAAGAAACAGAATACATGAATAAACTGAAATTGTTTGAAAACAGCCATAAGTAACTGTGTGTAAGGTGTAAAATGTTAACTTTGAGTGTCCAAACACATACAGCCAGTGGTAAAATATATTTCTTTCAAATAAATACATTTACAAGAAAATGTACTGCAAGGAAACATATTTGCAATGCATACACAGCTTGATAAGCATGTTAAGAGCACAGAGAACTAATATATACTACTGTATATATATATATATATATATATATATATATATATATATGTTCATAAGTATGCCAGGAATAACTGGGTGAGAAATGATTTTATGTATTATTTAGAATACATTTAAAAATATTTTCTGTTGCATTTACTCATATTTATATCCACACAAATGGTTCAGCAACGGTGCAGGACCATGACATATGAGAAATGCGGACAGCCTGTAACATTTGTGAACTGTTTTCCTCATATGACATGAGTACTTACCTGTCTCCCTTGAAGAAATAGGTTTTTCCAACATCTTCCCACCAAATAGCTGAATCGATTCCGTGAGGGGGGATTCCACTTCCAAGAGTAATCAGGTCATGAGGGTAACCAGGTTGCAGAGTTGTGTCCTTGAACACCCAGTACTTGTTGCCTGTATAAAATAAATGCAAATGAAGAAGACAGGAACTTAGTGCAAGACAATGATACATCCATTAACACAATGCATGAACATTATTCTGCATAGAATTCTTAAAATAAGTTAGCAGCAGTGAAATATTAGTGTTCATTTAAGAGTAGGTATAATGAATGACTACTTAAAATATAGTTGAAATTTATGAGTTAATTGAAAGAGGAAAATAGATTTACAACTTAGTCATAAAGAAACAACTCTAAATCAAGGATCATAGATTCCTCCCCTAGGAATCATTGGCCCTATTTTTGCTCAAGCAGTAATCATTTCTATGATTTGTGAATTCTGTGTGCCCTCAAAATGCTTTAGTGAATATTGAGATATTTCCTCTAGGATGACTCTCTCTCTCTCTCTCTCTCTCTCTCTCTCTCTCTCTCTCTCTTTCTCTCTCTCTCTCTCTCTCTCTATATATATATATATATATATATATATGGATAGATAGATAGTCTCTCTATTTGTATGAAGTTAGTCATCCTCCTCTGACCTCAGGTCCTCTTCCACTGTAAAACTAGCCCCCTCTTCAAGAAAGAACAAAAATTTTAATCTTACAACTTCAAAATTAGCAGAGTATGGTAAGACTCACAAGTAGTCAGACCTCAGTCATGTTATTGCTGTTTGGAAATTCTCTCTGAACAACACAGCTCCACATGCCCTATACCCCCGGTACACTGTGCCTAATACTTTGTTCTTAGTATACTCATTCAATAATCTGCCAACATTTCTCACCCCATTGAAAATTGATTTCAGATCTACTGAAACTTTTTCTTGGAGTCTTCATTGCCCTCCATCTAGCCAACAAAATCATTCTCTATCCTTATCTCTTGATACAACTAACCACTTAAAGTACTTTTCTTCTTAGGCATGTAGAAAGCCATTTTCTTTTTGTTCCTCTTTCTTCTTTAGCTGCTCCTTTCTGAGATCTTTTATTTTACTTAGCTTTTGAATGCAAACATTTGCCATCACTCCAGTCCCTGTTGTCTTCTATTCTAATTATAAACCAAGAAGGATCACAAACTCAAATGCTGCAAGGTCCACATTATCATTAGAGATAATAAATGTAACCATTTACTATTTCCAGATCCACCATGATGAAGCCAGTAGATTCCCATGGCCCAGAGGCCTATCACCTTTCTCCTCATCTCACTCTTTCATTTTGATTGTTTTGTACTATTTTGTTTTGTATTAACTTATTGTGTATGATGATTCTTTTGTACTATTTTGTACTATTTTTTTTGTATTAACTTATTGTGTGTGAAAGTGTGGGCAACTGTTTTGAAGAAAACAAGAGACTTGGTGGTAGCCACTGTTGATTTCCTGTTGCCTTGTTTTGAAATCCAGTGTGATTTGCATTGTTTTGCTCTGATCTGCTTTGTTCTGTTTTGCTTTCTTTTGTTCTATTCTCATTAAAAAATTAAAATAAATAAATAAAAGGCAGTTCAATGGCATAATTCCTCATGTATACCCTTCTGGATCTTTTTATGATCCAACAACTCTTGGATAATCAACCTGCTAGGTTCACATCTGACAAAGTCAGAACTTCTGTGTCTATGCAGTGATGTGAAGCTATGCTTGCTTTTTAGCACTTCAATACCACATCTTGATGAGGATTTTGGTAAACTCCAGCATTCCTGCCATACCTAAAGAGAGTTTAGAAATTAAAACAATGTACTGCTCTAAAAAAAAAAAAAAAACCACAGAATAAACAAAATAACAACGAAAAAGCCAAACAAACTCTGTGTGTTTAGGCTGATTTAATTAGGAGTCTCTAGGTTATACCAATGGCAAAACCTTCTACTATGATGTGATGTAATTTAAATTGAAACACTGACTATCTCAGTAGGCCAAGTGTCATGTTACATAGTAAGCATAGTAAAGAAAACAAGACAGACATCATCATTAATAAGATAAAGAGAATGGAGGTAGGTGAGCCACTGAAGGTTCAGATCAAGACCTTCACACGTCAATGAGAGGTCTACATAAAGCAATTGTGTAGGCAAGTGGATATGTCTACTTAAAGATCAAAAATTGTAAGTCACATGCATAAGTATGGTATTTACTAATTTAGGACTTAGTGAGGTTTTGAAGGGTAGAGGACATAAGACAAACAGAAGCCAGAATTGCATTTCTAGAGACATGTAATCTTCAGAATAGGTTATACAAGGAAGAGGGCAGAGTAGGCAAGAGAGGAGTAGAGAGAGAGCAGTAATGAAGATTAGCATGACAGAAAACTTCAGAAGTCAAAAGAGAAAGTGATAGAAATGGCTTCATGTAGAGTAAGCATCTCTTAAAAGCCAAATAATATATATGGTTACTTATTGGTGTGTTCTACAAAGTTGACTCACAAATATAAGATTCCATTCATCTCAAGGTTATTCACTTATTTCTTTTACTTAGGTAGCTGGGGTAACATTTAATGTATTATATCAGAAAACATCCTATTCGGGAGTGTGGTGGCACATGCCTATCATCTCAGCTTTTGGGAGACCGAGGTAGAAGGATCCTTATGAATTCAAAACCAGCCTGGGCTGCAAAGTGAGCTCAAGGCCAGACTGAACTGCACAGTGAGACCCTGTCTCAAAAATTAAAAAATAAAAAAGGAAAACTAAAGAATGAAAAAAAAAGAAAACATCCTGTTCATTATTTTTCATATATAGTGGATCACCACATTTAACAGATTTGAATTCCTAGTTCTCCTTGAACTTGCCTCTGAAAGTCCATTCCACTGTCCTTTCTAAAGATAATCATTTCATCCTTTGTTTTCCATATTCTCCTTCTAGCCCCTCACTGCAAACCTAGCGATAGTCAAACTGCTGCAGGGCCAGCTACGGCCACATGGCTTGGTCAAAGGAGCAGAGCCAACCCACACTTCTGCCTTGAGACTGTGACTAGGGAGTCTGACTTTCTACTCAGCAGAAGGAAGTAGCTCTTCATTCTATGTATAAAGCTTGAGAGGCCATGAGGGCCATAGGCAGGCAGACACTATGAGGAGGGAGAAACTGAATAAAAGCAGTACATTCAAAGAAGGTGAGGGGGCTAGATTCAGAAAGCAGCACTGTGGACGAAAGACGGAATGGGCGGCCTTTGAGACAGAAAGTGACTCTGGCGAGTTCCTGATGTGTGACTGTCACACAGCGTAAAGTCCCCATCAGTCGAAGTAAACCAGAAAGGTTTATTTTTCTTTTAACTGAATAATACTGTCTGACATGACATTTAAACATGACTTTTAAACATTCAAATGTCATGTAAGATCTTAGATGCATCTAAGCCTCCAAATCTGCAGATCAGAGTCCTGGATTTTAGCCAGTATACCCTGCTGTCTTTTCACTGTTTACCATAAGAACAATTTTCTAGCTTGAATAATTCCAAATCTCTCACATCTTATCTCTCTGCCTCCAGTCTCTCACTTTTACCTATCTTCCACAAGCTCGTTAAAGAGCTTTCTCTAAAATACACAGTTGATTTTGTTTCTCTTTTATTTAAAATTTTCAGTGACTTTTCATGGCATTCAGATAAAACCCAAACTCACAGGTATAGCATTTCAAATCTCCTTTCAATCTAGACTGCTCATCTCACTCTCATTCCAGTCATCTCTTCTTCTGGAAAAGTGGAATGACATTTCAAAACTTAGCATTATTTCTCTGAAAAGTATATACTTTTTGAAACCAGGGGTCAATTATATTGCTAGATTAGACAATCTTGACCCGTTTCGTATTACTTTGTACGTTTAAAGGAGTACAACCCTGTCACTAACTTTATTATGAGAAACTTACATGGAAACATTATGTTGCACACACTTTTTTCCTTTGGCACCTCATAAATAATGCCTCGAAATCAGAAGGTGCTTAATAAACAGTTATCAATGCAAAGAATCATGTTCACTATTGCATAAATAGGCACAGAACCAAAAATTGTTTAAAAAGAAAATAAAGTCTATACAAACAGCATAGTGGCCATTAGTATTGATTCTTACTAATAAAGGAGAAAAAATTAATTTTATCAAGATACCTTCTACTGTTTTGGAAACCATTTATACAAGTGATTATAATTCACTGTGTGCTGAGAGACACTGTCACAGAATATAGACACAGTCTGAGCTCTTGTTAAATTCAGAAATGTTAAAAAAAAAAATCAACCAAATGTCCAGATCATTTTCTTTCTAAAGTCAGTGAGACAGAAAATTCAGAGAGTATTAATTCACGTCATGATCTGAAGTTTGTCTCTAGCAATTAAAAGAGAAACTCTTAAAACACTAGACAGAAAGATAGAGAAGACTATTCTGCTGGCCTATGGCTCAGTGACCCAATGATTTCTCTTCTTTCACCTCATTATTAATTAGGAAAAGGAGTTCCATTCCAATGCCTCCCATGCTATTTAGAGGAAATCCTGAATCTTCTCAACTTGGTTTTCTCTTTAAAGCAGAAGCACTCAGCATGCTTTAAAACACATCCTTTGCAGTTCTTAAATTTTATCATTTGCATGACAATTGCTTCACACTTTTCCCTATGATGACTACAAGAGGCACATCAATACCTTGGATGCCATGGCCCATGCAAGAGAAAGAGTTTACAGAAACTTGGTTAGGACTTCCACAAGTCTCAAGAGTTCATGTGTAAAAAGAGGAAGGGAGTTTCAGTTCTTCCAAGAAATTTTTATTGTTCTATCAAAAACTATTTCGTAAAAAATATATTTAAAAATACTTTTCTATACTCTTAATCTAGTGTTCGCTATCATCAAAAAGGAGAAACAACCAGTCTTTCACTTTTTTAGTGTAGTCATTTATACAGTTCATGGTTAAATATTTTTTCTGTTGGGAATAAGGAACAACTGAATTCTTTTGAAAATGTACATATAGGTTCTTTAAAAATGAAGCAAAATGAAAAAGTTATAGGTAACTATTTGTTGTAGGGTTGCATGACTAAGTTCCAGTAACTACACATGCACATGCATGTGTGTGTGTAAAT